GGAACCCTGCAGGTGACTGACCTCCTTCAGTCTTCCTCAACAGAGAGCATTTGTATAGAGGATGGCTTAATCCATTTTCTTCTGAAAAATATGAATTTCTTACATCATCTCTTCAGCCTGCCTCAGTGGCAGCTTGGCCTTGAAATGGAGGTTCCAGCTGGAGGAGAGGACATGTCATTAAGGATTGGTAAGTAGCCCATCTCAAAGCAATAGTCCTTTAATGTAAAAAGAGTCATCTTAATGAAACCTGGTGTTTAACATAAAGACAGACAATTTAATGAACATTTTTGAAATAACATTATTGTGATTGGTTATTGTGTAAAGTTCGAAGTATGAAGAATAATCCAGAAATGATAGAGGCCTATTGAGGAAAATAAAGAGAAGTTCCGACTAGTTCTATTTGTTAGCACCCTAACAACTCCTAAGAAGTATAAAATTAGCATCTTGTATATGGTCAATCTGACATTTTGCTGCTGAAAGAATGATTTATCTGACATTTAACTGAACACAATATAGTTGTGTTCAATTGAATGTGAATCCTTGAATTTAGCCAGCTTCTCAGTTAGTAGAAGAGTTACTTGTGATATAATTTCCAACTAGTTAAATTGAGAGATTTATTAAATTAATTATATGAATAAAATATTTTTATGATTTTTTCCACCAAAAAATAAACTGTAAATATATATCAATAAAAGAGAATGTATGTAATTGTAAATATCTATTTTTAAACTAGTTATACCATAACCCACAGCCTGGTATAATTATGTACCAATACTACTGTTAATAAAATATTAAGTCATAACAATATAAAGACACTCTTAGGGACAAATGTTTTGGACATTATATATAGCATGACCCTGCCAAATGACTGGGGGTGGGGGGAAACTGTTAACAGAAAACAGATTGTCACTTTTTTCTTGGTGTGAAAATATACATTATATGGGTATAATATGAGCCAATTTGATGCAGTAACTAAAGGCACTGGGATAGAAAATGAAAAACTATGAGTTTTAGTCACGCCCTGGTCACATTGTTTATGTTACATAGTGCTAATATCAGTAAAAAGAGGTGGGCTTTGATGCTTTGTAGGGCTGTGGAATTTAGATGCACTGGTCTAATCACAGTAAGGTCAGACCTTACAGTGTGGCTATAAAGGTCATATTATGATTTATATTGCTTTATTTATCACTCCTATGTAACATTTCTGGGGTATATAATCCATAACCTTGCTTAGTTCAGGGCTCTTTGGCATTATTTTGGCCTGAAGCCCAGGGATATCTTAATTTATTAGTTTTATTATTCTATTTATTTAATTGTGCATACCAATAAAAAATACTTTGTTGCATCTATCTCAAAATGCTATGGTTCCTGATTTAAAATGAATATTTTCCCACAACAGACATCTGGATCAGATATAATGCTCTTTTAAACCAAAAATATCTGTCCCTCAGTTGAACTCCAGATGACATTTTGATATATTCTCTGTGTGATTTTATGTCAAGGGTTTTGTTTAAGAAGTACGATCGCCTGATCCTGTCCCAGCTTTATCAGCATCTTACTTGAGAACCTCCGTTTATGTAATTTGTCATTTATTAGGAATTTCCAGGAGAAATAATATTTATCTGATAAAGTAAGATATACCAGACTTTGAGATGAAAAATAGCTTTTAAGAAATATCTGAATACATACAACCATGCCCTTCTTTTCATTTGTTATAAACCTTGCATCCAAACATACAGCAGAGTTAAGCGCATATTTTGCTATCAGAAATTCTTTGGAAACTAATTTGAGACGTCTCCAATTTCTAGTTGACACCTGGATTTAATTGTACTCCATAGAAAACCTATGCCAATGTATTGGCTTCAAAAGCTTCACAGAAGCTAGTACATATTGGGCTTTTCTAGTGAAAAAGAGAGGATTGCCAGGAAACCTCTCTGAATGTTCAGAGCTATTTGGATAATAGGAGTATGTTGCTTTGCTGAAGAATGCAGTACAAATCCCAAGTACTTAAAATGAAGCATTTGTTCAATAATATAATCTTTGACATTCCATCAGAATTTTACAAAATGCATAGTATTTGTTTTCTCATGATTAATCTGTAATGAGTATTCTTAGAAAAATGGACTATTGCTCCCATGGCTCTTCTAAGACCTAGCAGTGTCTGCAATAGTACTGCAATAGTGTAAAGTGGTATAATTATGTTTAGCCTGGTTTAGGGAATTACTTAAGGCATCTATCAATATACTCTTGTTTAATCTCTAGTTGGAATTTTAGAGGAGTTCAGTTACAGGATATATGTTACACTCAAGCTTGTATTCTTATGAGGTTCATTTAATAGGGTAAGCAACTGTTTATCAATTGTAGATGCTTTGAGTGTTTCTAAAGATGAAATCCAAGGCCTGCTTTAGATCCACAAACAAGGGAGAAAGGGCTGACTTAGGTGGTTGAGTATATTTTTCTTGAGCATATCTAGTCTTGAGCTATCACCAGTCTCTCTGAAACCTTACCTGTAAAACCTTACCTTACGCCACCAGAGTTGAAATTTTCAGCTTGGACACCCTGGAACTACACCGCCTATGGTCTGACCTAAGCATAGTACACAACATTGTCTGCTACAATATCCTACCTGTCAACGACCATTTCAGCTTCAACATCAATAATACATGGGCAAACAATAGATACGAACTCAAGGTAAATCGCTCCAAACTCAATTGCAGAAAATATGACTTCAGCAACAGAATGGTCAACGCTTGGAATGCTCTTCCTGACTCTTTTGTTACATCCTCAAACCCCCACAGCTTCAACCTTAAACTGTATACCGTGGACCTCACCCCATTCCT